ACACACACACACACACAGCTTGCATGTGGTTTGGGTGCGTATGTAGATATTTGTGTGACTGTAAAGGTTACAAGCGGCTAATGAATCAGGGCAAACGCAGGGTAAACATTGTCTTTGTCCTGTTGCCTTAGATAAATCAATCATTCCTTGTAGAAAAAAAAAAAAAAGAAAAGAAAAGCTTTTTATTCAATATCAGTGGCACTCAAAATCATAGCTAAAACCATTATAACCACAATGCATTAACACAAGGGCAAATGCACTTTAATCCCATTGTATACCATTATTCCTTTGATTCGTCTATGATACTTTGGTTCATTTATTTAATGCTGCTTGTGGTCTTTGTAATTGTTTAGTCCTGCTCTGTGGGGCTTGGATGGTTGGAGATACACATATTATAATAAAACAAACTAGAATCACAAACAAATGCACTATACAGTCAACAGATATTGAAAACGGACAAAATTCCATTTAAAATCTGAAGGTCGTTAATCAATGTAATTTCTTTATCGTCTTTCTAGAAACAAAGCATATTAAACACCAACAGCAACTGACTCACCACTGAGTGATGAAGTGAACAAACTTCTCAGTGAATTGGCTGACAGGAAGAACTGGAGGATCCTGTGAAAAGAACAAAACAATTTACATTTTTAGAATTCACTGTAAGTCACTGACAAGCAGATACAGGTTTGCTGCACTGACCAGTGAACAAGCAGCACAACGTGCTGTGATATTTATGTGTGCAGATAAGCAGCTTGTGGTAAAAAAAAAAAGAACAGTGAGGTCCGTCTCATGGCATTACCTCGCCCTAATAATAGGCAAGAGTTGAAAATATTTAACTTGAGCATCAAATTTGCACACATGATTTTTTGATGCTTTTTAGAGAGAGCGGTGGGATAGAGCCACTGCTGCTGGAGGAGAGAGAGCCAGATGTAGAGCCAGAGCTTCTGGAGGAACAAACACCTGGAGTCAGATGGGATTCTGCTCTCATTCAGAGCCATTTACTAGCAGGAGGAAATCTCAGAGTATGTTTTTTAAACCTAAAAAGTTACGAAGAACCCACCAGGGTCAGCTGAGGAAGAAAAAAAGAGCCATGCGTAAATCGGCAAAGTGGGAAAAGTTGCTGGTTCTGCCTAAAGACTACAGCAAAGGGTTTCTACAAGCTGTAGAGCTTAATTAAAAATGATAAGGTCCCAAAGGTGCACAAGGTAAATACATCTACATCAAGAGCAACATTATATGATTACTGATACAGCATCTGTTCAAAGAGTAGATAACACTGAAGAGCATGGATCCGGTGAGGTTCAGAATTAAGTACCTTTCTTCTACACTTTAGTGTTTGACCTTAAGGATACACTCTGCACTCTTTGTCCTTTGTATTCATAGGAGCACTAAGTGGTGATTGGCAGTCAAGTTAATGTACAACAATTGCTATGTTATTTAGTGAGCTTTAGAAGTGCTGGTAGGTAAATTATGTTACCTGTGTAAGGTAGTGTTTTGTGAAAGTAAAATATACTTATATTATAACAGGTAATATAATAACCATATAGTGAATAAATCTTCTTTTAATACTGTTACCCAAAATAATGCATTGAGTTTTAATGTTTATTTAAACATCCTCGACACAAGGGCTTTATTTTTTTCTTCCTGCTTATCACTGGACTCATTTTCCCTGTGGCACCTGCAGTATGAACAGTTGTGGAGAATTTCATCATTGTGAGAGGACGTTAGGTAAAATGCATGATGCAACAACAAGACTTGGTAGGAAAAAGGCGGATGTTTGGATTCACTTTACTTACAGTGTACTGCCGTGGAGAAAAAAAGTCATGGTGCTGGGGCTTCAAAAGGCTTTAAACTACAAATACTACAAATCTCAGGAGATACCTGAAGGTGCACCTGGGCACAGAAACTGGGGTAATTAAAGGCATTACAAGCTATGTTAAGCCATTCAAATGAAGCCTACATTTCTGAATGGTGGAGACTTTTCTTGATTACTGTTGCTTTTTCCGACAATGTGGTTTTTCACTCTCTCACGCTGAGGGATACGATAGTGTGAGAGAAAGCTTTGTGCATTCAAATTTTAACTATTTTATTCAGGCAAAGAATAGCCTTTGATAGCAGTTTTTTTTAACTATGTTCCTGAGGGTTTTAGTTTGGATTTTGTTATTGACAGTTTTTCATGTAAAGATAATTATTTTCTTCTTAGTTTTCCTCTGACAAATGTACTATCAACTAATGTTTAATGACTGAATTGGCTACTTTACTTTCAATAATTAATTTTGCAGCAGACCAGCACTTTGAAAAAGCAGCATTTTCAATCACACAACATAAATTTTACATTATGGTCCTTAAAGTTAGAACAACACTATTCAAACAAAATTTACTTAAAATATGAGGGACAAAGTTGACCAAATGTGACTAAACCTCACACGGAAATTTGATCTTGATCTTTGACCAGGACGAAATCTGGAAATTGCTGCAAAAATGAACAATAGTAATGTGTGTGTGTTTGTTTGTGTGTGTATGCGTGCGCCAGGCTTGCTACATCTTGTCAATGGAGGTTCTATGAACCGTGTCATGTAGAATAGCTGGGCCAGACTCACCCTCTATTACTGCCCCTCACCTCATTACTCCATCCATTTCCCTCCTCTCACTGCTTCTTTCCCTACCTTTGGCTGTCAGTATGAAAAGCTCTTAATATTTACGTTTATTTCAACATCTACATCCTTGGAGAAAATTGTATTTACCATTGCATAGCAATTGCCATGTCAAATTAATGTGTATTTTCTTTCTTTGTCTCAATGACATTAAACTGCAGGAGAGAGCTAAGCATGAAATTGTGTATGAAAAGCACCAGGATTAGAATTTTCCTCTTTTAAGTGTTGAAATTTAGTTTCTAGTTTATTTTAAAAAATAAAAATAAAACAAAACAATAGTCAGGTTCCAATGATAGATAGACAGCGTTTAAGTTACACATTAATTCAAAGTATTATGTATATATAGTATAGGGTGGTACAAATTATACAAATACTTTCTGTTTCATTTAAAATATAGAATTCAAATATATAGTATATGTGAATCTCAGAATGCACATGCTCAGTCCATACCAATGAGAAAACTGGATTTACGCAAAACAACAGCAATTCTGGATTTTTAAAATACCCAGTTCTCTGTATGTGACACTGAAATTCAAGGTACTGCATCCCAACGCACCAGCCTGTGCACAAGACAGCGATATTTACTCAGAGATACTATCAGAAAATCTCAAGTTGACCACTAGATTAATAGTAGGTGCAAATTCTAAAAGATTTAAAACATGCACAGCAAGATCCGATGATATGAACAAAGATATAAACAAAAATACACAACTAAAGATGTGCAGAAAAAACACAAAATCTGTGTTCACAACCAGGCGTTTATTCAAACGCAGGGAATTAAACCTCTTTACATCTGAACCCTGCTGTGCCATTAAAAACACCTCTGGGCAGTGTTCGCCATTCCTTAATGCTCTGATCGGCAGGCTCCCGCAAAGCATGATGCATGAACCCATTTAAATTAACAAAGGAATGGGTTCCCTTCTAATCTCACTGCACTTCACAGTGCTGCCGCCGCTTGGATGAGCAATATATCATAGCACATGCACATATACACACAGGCATGCACAAACAAATGCCCTTGAGCAATGCACACCACAAGCTTGAATGTACACTCCGTTTAGGGGGAGAGTACCAAATAATTTGCAACCACTGTACTATGGTGTACACACACACACACACACAGAAAAACAGGATCAATTGGACTCATGGTTTGTGCAAAGTGTTGACTACACAACTAATTTATGTGTTGTGTAGGCTAAATCTGATACAAAATCTCTCCCTGCACTTTCCCCACATATTTGCATGCACATGCACCTTTTTGCAGACACAAACACAAACACACACATTTATGCATGTATTCATGTCTCCAGCTGAGAGGAACACCGCTGCAGCTTTGATGTGGCAGCAGGCGATGGCACAAAAGACAAGCAGGCTGATGAAAGTGGCTAGTCTGCGTGAATTATTCCTCTGGTTGTCAACGCGCTCCACTATGAGACAGAACACACACTACGAGGGTACAAGGGTACGAGTAAATATACATGTCATTGCCATGAAGCAATTATTAGGCAAAATTAGATCAGTAATTACAGGCTTGAAAATAAAGTGGGAGTTCTTTATTAGTGAAGCCACTTGCTATTCAACAAATAGAGGAGAGAGAGGCACATTAATGAGGGTGGACAGCAGACAGATTGTAGGAACAACTACAGAGAACTTCTTGTGCACGACCTGTGATGAATAAGGAGAGTATTTTTCTGTCATATACTAATATCAATAATGTCACTAACTAATATTTAAAAAGAAGCAGTTTCTATTGGTGTTTCTTTACTTGAATTGGGGGGGGGGGTTAAGTGCAGTTTATATCTGATCCTATAATATGACCTTATATTGCATTACCATTATCTAACAGGGTTATGGTGTCCTTTGGTTTTCTCCAAATACTCTAAATGAACAAAGGATTATCAAAGCTGCCTCAAAAATGTTCTGCTTATCATTTATGGGTCCAGGTTTTGTTGTTTGCTTTTCGGGCTGGCCTTGCATGAAAGCAATTTCTACATAAGCATCTATTAAATACTGCTTTTGTTAAGCCCACAATGTAACTTATTTCTTTTCTTTTCTTTTTCCATCTCAGCATTCAATTCTTTTAACTCCAACTACTTTCTACCAAAGAAAGGGGCCATTATGAAAAATGTGGACAGCTTGTATTAAACGGGGCCACAGTTTCTAGAATGAGATATTCCTTTTGGATATTTAAAATGGATTTTTGATTCAGTCGGCATTTTTTGAAATGTCGACTGAATCTGCAAATCCATTGCAAGTCTGTTAATCTGTCTACCTTAACTTAATGATCCTCTAGACATCTATTTAGTCTTTATTTTAAGCCTTTCCCAGCCATGCCTCACTGTGTGTGATAGAAAAAGAGAGGCAGACTGTCCCCCACCCCCCCCATAAACATACCTCTAGCTACAATAATATTAATGATCCACTCACAGGAGCCTATTACTCATTCAGTCATTACAGCAACTTTCAACTCTCCAGCGGATAAGTCATACACAATATCAAAGCATCATAACCAAAGAAAATAAAAAGTATCTGGATCACATCTACAGTATGTACCAATGGGCAATATTTACTAAATGTCACTGAGTCAAGTATAATTTATCACACCTGCCATGATGTTAAAGTCAGGTGTGTCTGGCCCAATTAAAAATACCTTAGCATTAAATTAACTACTCCATGGGATCAGCACTAGTCCATTAATACAGGTATTTTTATGAAGGACAAATAAAAAGGCAACTCATATGGCTCCATGATACCTCCAAATGTACTATAATAACATTATTATTTTTTATGCAGCACCTTTAAAAACAAAATTACAAAGTGCTTTACAGGGTTGAACCAGAATTAAAACATTTCAGGACTGCAATATGGGAAATAGAATATAAAAAAAATATAATAAAAATAATACGAAACTAAAATAAAATGTCTTTTAATTTGCATGTCATCCACATAACAATGGTACTGAATTTTGTGTTTATGTCTATATCCTAGTGGCTGCATGTATACACAGAACAACTAAGAGCCAAGCCAAGGATGGTCGCCTTGGGGAACACCACATGTCAAACGAAGGCATCACCAACCACTACAAAAAAGTTCTGTTTGATAAATAAGATTTGAACCAGTCTACAGCTATATCGTTGATGTCAACGTACTTTTCAAGGTTATCCAATAGAATTGAATCATGAGCTGAGATCAAGAAGAATTAAAAATCGAACAATCTTCAGCATTAGCTGTAAGTAAAAGATTGTTTGTTACTTTAATGAGGGCAGTTTTGGTGCAAAGAAACCTGATGGAAATATAAAGACATAATGATTATTGATAAAAGTAAATAATATTTTGGAAATGCGAACGCTCCTATCTGGAGCAAGTGTTTGGTTTAGTCTCTTCTGGGCTACTGTAGAAACATGCCGGTTCAACATAGCAGACTCCATGAAAGGAGGCCTGTGCTGTCTGTAGATATAAAAGGCCCATTCTAGGTAACAAAAACATAACAAAATAAAGTCCTATACTCAGGTCGTTACACACTAATGAAAACATACTTATGAATATTCTATTCCATTTCTGCCAAAAGATCCTCCTAAAAAAACAATTTTCTCTAGAACATTTAATAAAAACTAACATTTTTAAAATCCAGAGGGTCAAGGCCACGTTTCTTGAGAAGTGAGTGCACTACTGTGTGCTAAAGGCAGGGGGGAACACAGCCAGTGGACAGAGAGCTTTTACAATGAATATAATGGCACTGTTAAAAGCCTTCTTCAGAAATCTGGCAGACATAACATCTAATGGATAAGGACTAGTTTGGTAATTGTATCCTTTAAGTAGCCTCAAAATGATTGAGCAAGGCAAGGGATTGCGGTGTACTAGGTCCTGAACTGGCAACAACACAGGAACATTAAGAGCACTTCTCTGGGTATTCAACTGCACATTGAAGTGTGAATACTTCCTCACTCTAGTGCAGTCCTCAACCTTTACATACTCTCTGAGCAACTTCATCTTTCCAAAGAGTGCTTATCCTCTTGTCTCTTCCTCCAAAGCACTGCATTAGCTGGGACAGTAAGGCTCACTAGGGACAACTGAGTATTTTCTCTCGCTTCAAGGGGAGGAACAGGAAAAGGCACAGGAAAAATAGTTTGACTGATGCCTCCGTCTAGCTGACTAATGAACAGTTCAGCCTGGGTCAATCCATTACAACCAAAAGCATTTAATTATTAATTACGCCCAATCCATAGGCAGCTAAGGACAAGCGACATTGTATGTTTAATGTGTGATATGGCTGGTGATGGGGTTTGAGGGGCTGGTTTAGGCTCGAGAGGTCTTGTGACATTTTTGCCATTAGTGTAAGTCAGCAAAGAACTGACAAGGAGGAAGAAAAGAGAGAGGAGGGAAAGGTTGCATTTGCTGATGAAAATATAGGTAGTGGGAGCTTACACATTCATGTACACAGACACAATTATAGTGTCCATACATCAAAAAGTAGAAAAAGAGTATTTCAGCAGAACCAAGGCATCATAGACTGTAATGTGCCACTGCTCTGTATTTTTTATAATGAGATGTGTTGTTTTCAGGTTATTTAGTGTGGAGCTGTGAAATCATTGGAAAGTGGAGGCGATCGAATAAAATATGGAGGGGAGGTCAATTTTTAACCCCCCCCCAAAAACAAAAAACTCAAATAAAGGACACCTGTGTTTAGAGAGGGGGTTGATAAGTAAAATAACATCTTATGAAATTATTATGTATACATGATGTTACATATTAGATGGCTAAGCCCTCACTGTGATCTTCAGCGCACATGTGTCATAATCAGTCTCTTCAGTTGTGTGTTTGTGAGTGCATTTTGATATAGAAACAAACACCCAGTGCAGTCAAGAGAACAGTCTTGGTTAAACAAATTTTTGTCTGCTTTGGTGTTTGACTCTGCAGCATACAGAATTCAGAGCTATGCTGTTTGTGTCACTCATGACAGGTCCAACCTCTACAGTAATGTGCGTGTGCATATGTGTATTGCCTGAGGCAGTTGCATAGGGTGAAGGGTTGAGTGAGTGGGGAGCAAAGCCGCCTGAGTGGTTTGCTTCATTAGGAAACAAAATATAAGCTTTCCGGGCCATTAGGACTGACTTTAGATGCAAAAGCACATAAGACGGCGACTCACCTCATCAACGATGCATTGCAGTAACTGGAGAGGCTGGAAGAGGAGAGACACAGGGAGATGAAAAAAACATGTTAGCCTACATGGAATATCTTGGCAATAAGGAAAATCAATAGTGTGATAAAAAAAAATAAAGTATCTACTTAGATTAATCAAATGCAGTGAGCTCAGACAAAGCCATCCTTCAGCTCCTGAATGTTTTTATTATTCTATAATGGCACCTAATGTAATACCAGCAGTTTAACCATGATCTCATATTTCATTGCGAAAATGCAATTTGAGTGTTTGTTCAAATGAGAGAGCCAACCAAGAGTAACAGACTATAGTGTGGGAGACCTCTATTTTCTTTCCTCCTATTCTAATGCAATAAAACTTACCATTAAAGATCCTTGGTTTTTCTGAATCTGTAGGGCAAGACAGAGGAGAAGGAATGAGGCAATATGTAATTAGCGTGTCATAATCAAAATGATGCACTTGGACACATTATGATCACTAGGAGAAAATTATTGCTTTCCTGTTGGCAATTTGTGAGTATGCGTTAACACCATTTACAAAATGAAAACACACAAATGTTAATGGCCTTGCTCTCATTTGTGGATAATGGGGGTAAAAAATCCACTAATGCTAATTTCCAGAGTAGTACTTTATTCCTGCCCTCCAGGTTATCCAAATGTGCCGGGATGTAGAATAACTGTTACTAACATTATGAGCAAGATTTGCAATGAGAATGCTCAATGTGTCGATTTTACAGGTGCAACACGAACAATAAACAGGACATGTTAAGCTACCTTCATATGTTACAGGTACCATTGTTTGGACGAGGCAAAACAGAAAAAAGTTATTTGAAAGTGGATGTTTGAAGATTAAAATACTTTCAAAGAACTAGTGCTAGACATAGTCATTATAGAAACAAAATATAGAAAAATACATGAAGATATTTAAATTTAAATGTATTTGACTTACTAAGCATACTTTAAAACAGCCCAATCAAAACATATGAAAGGACTGAGTATGATATATATGAGTTAGAATAGGAACTTTTAATTTGGATGATTTCGACAAAACAACAGAAAACATTTAGGCTTCCTATTAAAAACCCCCAGGACTGAATTTTTTAGGACAATCTGCTTTAATTTGTAAAAAATAAACATTTTTTTTACTTCATCATATAGACTGAATGATGGCCTAAAACCTAGGCTCAGCTAAATGTCTAATAATGTTTGGTAAATAAATTGCTAATTTCACCAGGTCTTTTGACAGTGCATTAGAGCACTTATTGATTCACTCAATTAAATACAGGTTTTCACACTCTGCAAATGCCAAGAGACTCCTAAACTGCCTCTATATCCAGTTTTGCCTGATTCAGACACATTAAAGGCAACTATGGAAAACTAATTTGTTCAGAAATAATTACTAGGACAAAATTGCGTGCTGCTCCAGGGGTTGAAATTGGATAGTGGGAGACTAACTTATTCAAGCATAATTGAGCACTTATTCTTCTTGTACTAGGTAACTTGACCACATATCAAAAAGAGAGGTTTAATAATCCCTCCCTATCTTTCCCTCTTAACGGAGTCTCTCATCACTGTGGGCTGATTATCTGGTAGACATATCATTATCTGCATGTTCGTCCCGAGGGTAAACATTGTTTAATATGGCATTTACACTTAAAAAGTACTTTCCAATAATACATATCTTCAAATTTTCTTCTGATGTCTCATTTAAGATGTACAAACAAGTGGATTTTTGACAAGCCAGGGTGTTCTGTTTGCTGCAGAAGGTGGGAAGGGACCCATGTCATTCACTGTATGGAGTCTATGTGGGACTGAGTTTATCACTAAATAACAATTGTAGTTGTTTAGAACAATCAGCTTCTTGTTCCTTTGAGCTACAGTGCCCTGTTACAAGCCACTTAAGTGGCTTTGTGACAATTTGTGAGCCACATCAAACTTTATTTATTATTTGAAAATATCTCTGCGTGAAAATAAGAAGTCACAAATTAAATTTTTAGAAATCAAACAATTTTTGTTTCTTTCGAGAGCAACTCAATAAACACTTCTAAAAGAGCAGATGGCTGTTTCCTCCTTCAGCATATCAAAGATATTTCTTCAAGGATAAGTAATCGGAAAACCCTTTTTGATCAAAACCATCAATTTCAACAAAGGTTTACAAGTACATGTTGGTTATGTGCAAGGGCAGTGCCTCTCTGGCACCATAAGGATCTCACTAGGGAGAAAGGGTAAGTGGTCTTCTTCTCTGTTCTTTCTCTTTATTGTTAGGTCAACAACAACAACTAAGTCACTCTGTTAGCCTCAGATGTGTTACCCTGAGATTGTACGTGGTTTAAAATCATCCAACAACTACAGCTCTTCTCTGATCTCCTCCAAACTGACATCCTTTCATTACCAAAAGCTTCAATAGTGCCCAACTTAGATTTATAAAGTAGTACATTTAGATTTTCATCAACTGTTTGATTAGTGATAGAATAACCCAAATCCATTAGCTACACAGACAAGGCAAATACAAGGTTATGCTGACATTGTGCATTATTCAAAAATGTGTGAGTGATAATTAGCATGGTAACAAATTTTGACTGAGTGAAGCTTTATGTACGTATGATTGAGAGGGAAGGGTCTATAAGATTTTTATCTGTAAAGTAATCTAAAGCCTAAAAGGGAAGTTCACTACATGGAAATCAAATTATAACAGATTTATTAATGGAGGACATGTGACCGAGCAAGTGTATAAAAGAGTTTGGAGGGCATAGGGTGCTGAAAAAATTACAGCGATCATTGTTTATAACACACATACAGTGCATAGTACTGCAATATCATTTCCTTTCATTTGAGAGGAAAAAACAAAGTAACAAATTGAAAGCGTCTAAGCTGTTTTTGATGGATGCAGTGATGTGTAATGGAAGCTCCTGAAAAATACACACAAAAAACTGACATGATATTTCATCCAGAAATTCATTCAAATTTGACAAAATATGACAAAGAGAAACAAAAACAACCAAAGAGCAAAAAAAAGACAACAAATCAATCAGAAGCAATAGTGCTGGCGGCTGTATACACATCACATCGGGTCTAGTGTCTTCAAAGACTTTCAGAGCGAGCCGTGCAAAAACTCCATTAACTCCTGACAAAGGACGCAAATGAATCCCGACATGTGGTGAAGTGGAATTAAAGAGACCATCTCTAATCATGACAAACATGAGGTGATGATTCCACTGCGCGTGTATAGACACTCACACAATGTACTGAATGAGAGGTAATGCATCAACTACAGTAAACATCCACCAATGAAAGCAATTGGCAAGAGCACATGTAAGGGGTGAACTAAAGACCCCACACAATACGGCAAATCATGAAAGCCTCAAAACCAGATTCAACTTTAATAACTTGTTCCGTATCTTCCACTAGTCCTACAGTGGAAACTCAAATTCCACTGATTCTCTTCCAATCACTCTCGCGCTTTCATCTTCTCCAACTTCTCCCTCAGCCTGTACTAAAATGTTCTCCGTGAAGTGTAGCAGGGGGTTTTGCACAGACAGCTGTGCCAGCGTCTGCAAAAATGACAGCTTAGGCCCGAGGACTTTGGCTGGCTGCGCCTGACGAGCTGGATCCGAGCGCTCTCGCCACACCGCTCTGCTACAGCCTGCAGGTGAACTGTCTGCAGTACCATATGGAGTTAGGGGAAAATTAACACTGAGCTGAGGAACACTGCGTGACAGTGGAGAGCCCAAAATATAAACTGAGAGGTGTCTCTAATATTTCGTCTATCCCATTTATATGATTGAAGGTAGTAAAAACTACTTTGCAAAAATACACTAGCAATTAACATGATGAAAGAAGCATTAAATAAAGGAACGCACTGTAAAAGCAGACACACCCTAAGCTGTAGTCATAAACACTCCACACAAGTAGACACACGGATTGATCGTGTGACATTTACATAACCTTAAACACACCTCTGCATATATTTTTCATCATGGCTTAAGATCTAATAAGGAACGAGCCGCTTCATGACGGTAACAGATGGTTGTTTACTGTGGAAATACGCAACTAGGTGATGAATTAATTCTTGCAAAAACACGTGGATTTATCTCACATAATAGATACTGTTAACAGGATAACATTTTCAAAAAGAGGTAACTAAAATTAACATCCACAACCTCTATGGCCTAAAAGAAATCTCAGTTCATTTTAATGCACAGATGTTGAGATTTTCATATGACATCCAACTTAAACGTTTAGTAAATTGGTTCCATCTTTCCCACCAAGGATGGTTGCCATACTGAAAGGAAGCAGTCACTTAGGCAATCCCTGGGCAGACAGTGGAGTGGTTACATCACACTCTGCCTCTTTAATCAACCACAATGAAGTTTAATTGACAGAGCAGTCCAAGTGTTGCATACATTACACTCGCAGGAAAATTACACAAAAAAACGGTCAAATGTGCTAAAACACTTTCAAGATGTTTTCCTTTTCCCTTTTCCTTGTATCCATGGCTGACAGTAGTTGTAGTTGTAGTCGCCATTAGATAAAATCTGCTCCTTTACATTTGGTGAAGGCGTGCAGCCAGGAGGTAACCTGAGGTAACCAGATTTAGATTGTTCTGCTAGGGATTAGTGAGATAAACCCATCTTAAAAGGGCTAATTAAGACTTGATGAGATTGGGAAGTCACTTCTTTGGTCGGCAATTACATTTGAGCAGGATTTAAACTTCTTAGACTAATGAGTAAAAATGAACCCAAACAGTAGATTTATACATTTAAAGGTATATATCAGCACTGAAAGACTAATCTAGAAAGTAAAATAGATCACAGAATGTGAATATATTATTATTTTGAGGTCAACAGACACCTTTCAGGGACTTGAATCATGATTAGTGCCTCAAGAATAAAATTTATACAAGGTTTAAAATCATTAGAAAACCCCATTATATAAATACTTCACTGGGGAAAATGTTTAAAAAGTACTAAATGTATATAAAACAAACTGTATGAAACTTAACGCTTGAATAAAAATTGCAATTTGCAGCACAAATACTGTAGTTTAACTATTGAAGACATTGATATTTGCAACAGGAATTATGACAGCCAAAACCAGTTTAAACAAAATCTACAAATGTGAATATTTTTAGGTGGAGATTGATTAAAAAAATACAAATAAATGTAAAAAGTGCAAAAAACGTACCTGTGGATAGGGGAACATGCCTAGCGCCAACTGTGTAAAAAACAAAGTAACAATACAATTTTAATAACAATAAGATGTTAGATTCTTCTTGAAACATTTGAAATAATTAAATATACTCTAAAAAGGCAATATTTGTAAGCACCCATTCAAACTAATGCAATCAAATCAAACAGTCCAGTGTGTAAGATAAAGGAAAAGGATCTATTGGCACAAATGGAATATAATATTTATAGGTGTGTTTTAATTAGTGTATAAATAAATAACTGTTGTGTTTTTGTTACTTTAGAATGAGCTGTTTTTATCTACAGAGAGAGCAGATCCTCTACAGCCATGTTTCTACAGTAGCCCAGAAGGGACAAACCAAACACTGGGTCTAGATAGGGCCTTTTCGTGAGATTTGTGGCCACCTTAGTTTCTCCTAAATGCTTGTAGATAGGCTTTTCTTGAGATTTGTGGCACCTTAGTTTTTCTTCCTAAAAATGGGCTTGAAAGGCAAGTGTTATCAGTTGGTTGCCAATCTGCATCTTCACCGGCTAGGATGACACTTAATCCTACACACTGCTGGTTCTGTAAGT